AAGGAGGAGGAGGAGGAGGAGGAGGAGGAGGAGGAGGAAAGGGATGGAGACAACAACTGTCCAGTGTTTCGGACAACTAACGCACATGTCCATTAGTAAAAACTTTACTGCGCAATAGATCCTTCCAGAGCTTTCACTGGCTGGCTGGCTCGTCGCTGAAAGTTCTGCTAAGTCATTAGGCAAATCTCGGTCTTCTAAGCTGGAAATTTCTTACAATAAAACCCGCCTCTGGGATTTCCCCTGCTGCCCTCCAATCTCTTCGTTTTCGTTTTTAAAAATAGCTAACAACACAACGGAGTGAGCAGGCCATCTGAATTTCTGCATGCTCGCTGCGCGAACATAGGGAGTGTTCATGTGTTGAAGAGCTGAGAAGGTTCATGAGGTTTCACAGTGCTTGACAAGTGTTGACATATGTCACTCGCATGGGATGTGCGTTGTAGAATTGCTCCCGTGTCTACCCCCGAAAAAAAAACCTCCTTAGGAAATTCCTATTGTTACTTGTGGCTAGGTCAAAAATATGGGACATTTAGAAAGCCTTGCCAATTCAAAATTTTTAGTAAAGGATAATCTTAAACTTTAATACTTGTGGAAACCATAGAACGACTAGACACTCCAGTGCCCTCATTTCCGACTAAAAGCACCCATGGACTGGTAAATATTAGGACCCTATGTTTCAGCCTTTGCCTTCTTTGAGTAGATGTGGCAGGTGATGAAATAAATTGGTCGGGAGACATAACTGATAATTCTACGTAACGGCGGAATAACCTAGAAAGGGTATCGTCCACACACGTTAATTCAACTCTGTTTTGCTAAAATCTTAATGAGTTCACCACTTTATACACGCTGCCTGCTTTTCAAAGATGTGCCCCGATTTTGCTTGTCTGTCTGAGTAAATGTTTTGGGGGAGATGCGAAAGAAGGCTAAGGCTGTCTAATTTTCCGGAAATTCGAGTAGGTGTCATCGGAAGACAGACAGTTCGACTATCAGGGACAATGACGTCCACCATTTACCCCAAAGCGTGGTAAACGT